GAGCAGGGACACCCAGGAGCAGGGACACCCAGGAGCAGGGACACCCAGAAGCAGGGACACCCAGGAGCAGAGACACCCAGAAGCAGGGTCCCCAGGAGCAGGGTCACCCAGGAGCAGGGACACCCAGGAGCAGAGACACCCAGGAGTGGGGACACCCAGGAGCAGAGACACCCAGGAGCAGGGACACCCAGGAGCAGGGTCACCCAGGAGCGGAGACACCCAGGAGCAGGGACACCCAGAAGCAGGGTCCCCAGCAGGGGGCCAACAGTGACAGCTGATAGGGATCACATAGAAAGCTCAGGATGAAGAAATAACAAATGTTCAGTTCAGTAAAATGCTTGTGCCCTCCACAATTGCCTGGTTGCCATTCCCTTGCCCACACCAACCAACCTGCTTAGGCTCCTGTGGGATCCGAGGTGCCAGCACTGGTTGAAACATAGTGCTCTAACACAAAAGGCTGCTCTGGACCTGTGGTACCCAAGCTTTGGGGTTCAGTGTCCCTTTACAATCTCTAGATTCAGGACCCCGAAGAGTTTTTGTCTATGTAGGTTACACCTATCCAGGGTTACCATATTATAAGCCATGACAATTTTAAATATTGACTTACTTTAACAACTTACAACATAATAGTTAAATAATTCTATGTATATACTTTAATCTGTAGGTTATGTATAATAACCTAAACAATGCACATGCTCTACACAGTAGTTACAGTGTATTATTTAGGGAATTGATGAAAAGATCTGGACATACTCAGTACAAATGCAAAGTTGAATCTGTGGACCCAAAGCCCACTGATGCGGAGGACCATTTAGACATTTGATAAATATTTCAATTCACCTTTAACATATGTTTCAACATTCATTTAACACTCACTGATTTTCCCAAGAGTATAATTATCATATTCTCAAAAGAAAGATTACATGGTTTTACTCAAAAGCAAGATTACGCATTACACATCATTTACCACTTTAGAAAATCAACAGCAGCTCTGTCCCTAACACTGGACCACCAAGAAAACACTCCTTGCAGTTGGGAGTAGACTCATAGGGGTCTTACTTACTTTGATACTTTGTACACTACAGTCATACCTGAACATTCATGTTGCCATGCTAATCTAAGGTAAACTCCCCTTTATTTTGTGATAGTAAAACCAGACCTGCGTGTGAAATGAAATTACAAAAACGTTATGGTAAGAAACCAATGCTGGGGAAGAGGTCAATTCCACTCCCCTCTCTCAGCCTTTCTCCAAGAAGTCTAATTAACCAAGGGTCCCTATCTTTTGGATTGTAAATAACTATCCCAGGAATCTGACTACTCCCTCTTGAAATGTAACAGGTGCCTGGGCAGAGCCTCTCTTCTTACCTGTTTCTGTCAGCATGCTTCATGCTAAAGACCCTGCACAAGGCCTTCAGCCACACAGATTAGGAATTTTTAAAAAAAGAGAAAAAATACACAATGATGGGATGAGTCTAAGATGATGGGTCAAATAACCTATAAATATTGTGAAAAATTGTGGATCAGGGCTCGGAATTTGTAGTTTCTGTTTTCCTCTGGGTCCACAGGCATAAAATAAGGTCTGGAATTCTCCTCTCCCAGTGCTGCTTGCTGCTTCTAGACAGGTTTGGGAGGCCGTCGCATCACGTGCCAGCACTTCCCCCTCCTGATAGGTTGAGGCACTGTCGGTCATTCCCCCGATGATCTGGCTACTCTTAAGTTGCTGAAGACGGTAGACCCCGATCTTGAGGGTAGAAATAATACAACCAAATGTGTGTTCATGTGTGCCTTCCTACAGCCCCATGGGTCGAGCTATGCTCACCTGTTCCCCTTGCTCTGTTTGGGACAGAATATTCCATGGAAACGCCCTTTGTGTGTCCCCTTCTCTTACTCTGCCCTTGGGTGTAGACAACCTAGATGTCAGTCAACCTGCTGACAGCAGACATCATGGAGCTAGACTCAGCCCCCTGAAACCTGACCCCTTGCCTCATTTGAATGGCTTCTCCTCAAAAAAGGGGTCAGCACTCGAGATTACTCTCTTTCTGCAGATCCTTAAGGACAGAGAAGCCGTCACAGCACCCCCAAAGAAAAATGTATTTCTGACTCTTGTGTGGTTATTTCGCACAGCCCAGTTCCCCTAGAGTGACCCTGTTTTAGTCGCGAGCAACATGGCAGATGGGTCTGTTTCCCACAAAAATTTCTCTTTGCCCCATGGGACAACTGAAGATTACAAGGTAAGGAACACTGAGGCTTACACAGCATTATGAGAGAAGTGCTGCTCTGACACAGCTGAAGCACGCCACCACCAACCTCACTGATTCCATGAGAGAAATACTACCTATTCAAAGACACAAGTAGAATGCACTCCAGCAGGGCAGGGATGTGGAAGTAGGGTCTTCACATCACTGGCAGTATGTTGTTTCAAGCAAAGTTACAGGTGCTAGATGTTGGGAAAGTGATGGTCCAGTTTGGATTCTGAATGTCCCCAAAAGGCCCATGTGTTAAAAGCCTGGAGGACAGCAGTGTGCTCCAGCACGCATTTGGATGGTGATGAGCAGCCTCACCACAGACCAACGCAACCAACCAATCGTGGACTAGAACCTCCAAAACTGAAGCCGAAATAAAGTTCTTTATAGGTCGATTATCTCGGGTATTCCTCATAGTAACAGGAAGCTGACTGACACATGGGAAATAATGATTATGTTAACTTTATAAAATCATTAAGCAACATTGGCTTCTGAAGGTCCATTGAAGCCAAGTACACATTTTTTTTTTAAGATGCCTTATAAAGGGATGCAGTGGCTCATGCCTATAATCCCAGTGGCTTGGGAGGCTGAGGCAGGAGGATCTCAAGTTCAAAGCCAGCCTCAGCAACTTAGCAAGTCCTTGTCTCAAAATAAAAAATAAAATGGGATGGGAATGTGGCTCAGTGGTTGAGCACCACTGGTTTCAATCCCCAGTAGCAAAAAAAAAAAAAAAAAAAAAAAAAAAGCCTTATGAAACTTTAATAGGAAATTCACCTTAAAAGTAGCAAGTATCTCTTATGTCTTTATTTCATTGTATTAAAAAGCAACATATCTCAAGAGCATAAAGCCAAGTGTTTGCAACATATCATTAGAAAATTAGGCAATTAAATGCTCTGGGGAGTTAGCAGACAAAATGCCCACTAATTAAATTTTTTAGATGTCAAGTTATAAAGGCAGTAATTAATATTGCTCTTTGCTCAATGACAGAGAAGTTTAAAAGACAGAATAAGGTAAGCTACTAAATACATTTACAAAATGTTGTACTAAGTAGTAGCATAACGTGCAATGATCAATATCAAAAATGTCCAAGACAGAGCAGAGAATGGCTTCCTGAAATATCTTATTCCAAGAGCCCCTCTGGATCTCACTAAGAGCCTACTGACTCTTGACACGGACACAATCTACACTAGCAGATAAGAGGGCAGAATTTCACTGAAGCATTTCCATCTCCTAGAAGGGGTGAAACTTTTAGGTCAATCAAAAAGTCCCAATATAAAGAATTTTTAAGTTTAGAAATGTCACTCTAGCTCATGAGGAAGAACTTTAAAATCCAGGTGTGATGATGACAAGGTATAAATGTGTGGTTTATCCCTGGAAGAAAACACTTTGGAATCACTGACAGAACAGGAAAACATACGTTCAAGGGGGAAAGCCATAACCAGGCACCTCAGTAATCTGACTTCTCCTGATGCGCCTCTGCACTGAAGACCACCAGGGCTGGAACAGTCTGCTCCTCTCAGCCTCACGAAGGCTTCCCTGCCCTCTGCGCAGTCACTTTCCACTGATCCCTTCTTGACACTGAGTCGCCTCCCTGGAAAGTGGGATCTGTGACCGGATTGACTGTATCCTGGTAGCTCCAGCACCTGGTACTGTCCAGGAAGGATGCCAAGTGGAGCAAGAACCGGATGAAGTCAAATAGGAGTGACACAAAATCATTCATCCTTTGTCCCTTAGGTCACCACGGAGCATTCCACAAGTTACACGCATTAACTGTCATAAACCATGAAAGAAGGTGAACGACTATTCTCGGCATTTTAAACCTCAGCGGCTGAGCCATCCTTCAAAACGGCTCCTCTCTTCGCTGCGGACCTAAGGACTGAGTGGCACTGTCGCTTCAACTCCTGTGACGTTCCCTCGCGGTGCGCCTGGTGTCTCCCCGCACCAGGGCCAGGAGGTGACGTCCTGCGCTTCCCCCGGAGCCCTCAGCCCGGGCGGCTCTGCAGCGGCACCGGGACCTGTCGCCCGTGCTCCGCGGCCTCCGCCCCGACCACCCCGGGGCAGCCGAGCCCGCGCCCACCCGGGCGGGAGCAGCCGAGCGCCCGGCCGCCGTGGGCGCGAACGCGGCCCTGCGACCCCGGCCCTCGGCCCGGCCCGGCACCGCCGCCCGCGCCCCGCGCCCCGCGCGCCTCGGCCCTGCCGCCCCGACCCCGGTCGTCTCCGAGCGGCGCGCTGCGGCCTCCGGACGCGCGTACCTTCGCTCCGGCCAAGGATCCGGCAGCACAGGTTCTGCAGCAGCACGTTAGGCGACTTCTGGTCGGGGGTCGCCATCGTCGGCCAGTCCTGCGCTCGGCGGCAGCCCCGCGCCCCCGGCTCCTGGGCCCCGGCTACGGCGCCGCCATGTTCGCGGAAGCGGCCCAAGGCGCGCGCTTCCCATAATGCCCCGCGGCCCCGCCGCATCGCGCGTGCGCTGCTCGCCCGCCGCAGGTCCCGGGCCTCCGCCCGCGCGCCGGGGCTCAGGTGCAGCCCGCAGTCTGCGTGCGCGGTTAAACTGCGCAGGTGGAGGTGGGCTCCACACTTCTGACGGAAGCTGTTTAAGGAGTGCACGGCCTTTAACCGTGGGTGCGCCCCTCCTAAGCAGAGGCCGGGGGTCGCGGGCGTGAGCTGGGGGGTAGAATCACCAGCCGCGAACCCCATCCCCGGTTAACTGCCGTCCTTGGATCCGTACGTGGGCAGAGCAGGCAGTGGCCACGGGGCGTTTGGGGTGTGTCCAGCTGCTTACCCTCGCTGGCACTCTCCGGCGCCCGGGGCCAGTGCACTAAAGTCCAGCTACCTGAGGGAAGGTCGGGAGACCGGGCTGCGTGGACCAGGAACGCTTCCGACGGGAAGAGCTGGGGCATCATTCCCGCCAAGCACGGTCTGCAGCCCAGGGCAGCGAGGTCAGCGAACAGAGCGCGTGTCCTCAACATTAAACCTGGGGGTGGTGTCACAGCCTGGTGGGGCGTATGGGGCAGCAGAGGAGGACATGCCGTCGTCTGCCTTTTGCTCTAGATCCACTGTCCGTGCTGCCCTGCCCTGCCCTGCCCTGCTCTGTGTGGGAGAGAACGCTGGCCTCCTGCAGGGTTCCACCAGAGGAAGCCAGCCTTGGAAACCTGGGAGGAAAAAGAGACCCGCTCATAGCACACTGTCTTTGTGAGGATGAGATGTTTTCTCCCGGGCAACATCTTACTGTCAGCCTATTCTTCGTGGCATGGAGACTGCTCCATCAGAAGCTTCCAGAATGTCACTATGGTGACTAATAGCTCTTCGCACTGTCTTCCCTGCCCTGTGAGCAGTAGGGGCTTTGCCTGCTCATCTCACCAGCCCCAGCCCCCTGCTTCTGTCACCCTCCTAACCAGTTCTGTTTAATCCCTGTGTGGTTTCTGTTTTGGGCTGATACCCAGCACAGTCCTTAGTAGTAAGAGTGACTCTGAGCATTCACAAGCCTTAAGAGGGCATTCCAGGACTGGATTGCTCAACAAGTCTAAGCTCCAGTGTGTTGACATGTAATCAATGACACGTGGGTAATCAATGACATGGAGTGTCAAAGTGGTTTATATTATTTTGTGTGGCTGCTGGTTGATAGGAAGACCTTGAAAAATTAAGTAGCTGCTCCAGCCAGGTATTTATGTAGCAGCACGACTACAAAGATTGAGTTGAGACAGACAGTACAGGAGTGCATTCCGGTCTTGGTCTTTGCATTTCTAACCCCAGGTACAATCACAGAGCCAGGGAGCTCCCATAGCAGCTCTAATAGGATCTCTCGTTTTTGCACCTGCAAAGTAGTCAGAACTGAGGAACAGACCCAAACCTACCTGGCAGTAGGGTAGGAAGCAGACTGAGCACAGTCCTGCCACATCTCATATTAAGGTAGGTCATTAATTGAAAAATAGGGGCTGGGCATATAGCTCAGATGATAAGAGTGCTTGCCTCGAATGCACAAATCCCTGGGTTCAATCCCCAGCACCCCCACCAAAAAAAAGAAGAAGAAGAGTACTTGATTAATTGAAAAGTGGGACCCTGAGGATTAATTTAGACATTGGCTAAAACATGAAATCCAGAATACTCATCTTCAGTGGTCTGCTCAGCCATTTTACGGAGACAGACCTGCCTTTCTCTGAGTCCAGGAACAACCAGCATGGCTATTCTCATCATAAGTAAGTTAAAATGAAATTTCAAAGAAAGAAAGAAAGGGTAGGCAGACAAAAATCACAGAAGACGAGCAGAAAACCAATTTTTATATGGTATTTAAATACAACTATACTAATAACTACAGCAAAAATCATGGAATGAAGCATCCAATTAAAATCAGAGACTGGCTGGGCATGGTGCACCTGTAATCCCAGCAACTCAGAAGGCTGAGGAAGGAGGATTGCAAATTAAAGGTCAGACACAGCTACTTACCAAGGTCTTAAGCAGCTTAGTGAGGCCCTGTCTCAAAACAAGAAATAAACAGGGCTGGAGATGTGACTCAGTAAAGCACGCCTGGGTTTAGTCCCCCGTTCCAAAAAAAAAAGGCAGAGACTGTCAGAGTAGGTTTTAAAAAGGTGGCCTTAGGGGCTGGGGTTGTAGCTCAGTGGTAGGGCACTTGCCTACACAGATGAGGTCCTGGGTTCAATCCTCAACACCACATAAAGATAAATAAATAAAAGGTATTGTGTCCGTCTACAACTACAAAAAATTTTTTTAAAAAGTTGGCCCTAGTTATGTGCTAAATATAAGATGTTTCCTAATATAAAGACAAACATTGAACCGAAGTGGGCGGAGGAAAGAAGCACCATGACAGCAGCCAAGTTTCGCAAGGCCAAACAGTACATTGACATTGGACAAAACAGGCTTCAAGATGGGCAGTCTCACCAGAGGCAAAGAAGAAGGTTCTGTAATAACCAAAGGGTCAGTTTGTAAATGTGTAAGTGCCTGACGGCAAAGCTGCAAGAGGCAAGAGGGAGTTCCAGAGGCAAGTGAGGCCGAAGCATCGCCTCTGCACACACATGGTGTAAAGCAGGGTGAGGCGGCAGGTTCAGCCAAGTCGGGGCCTAGAAATCCACCAGACAGGTAATGCTGAGAGAAGCCGTCCACCAGAGCACTTGCAGGCTGGGCTGCTCCAGCTCCAGCACACAGCACGGTCAGTGAGGACCATGGTGGTCCTCAGAGAGCAGGCTCCACTGGGCCAAGAAATTAAAACCCATGGCTCTGCCAGAGAAGAAGGGTTTGTTAGCAAATGGGCAGGAGAACACCCCAGCCACACTAGCCAAGGCTGGGGTCCCACTGGGTACCAGTGGCAGGCCAGACTTTCAATGCTGTGATGGCTAACTTTGTGGGTCAGCTTACCTGGGCCACATTGCCCAGATACTGGTTCAGATTTATTCTGGGCATGTGTGAGAATAAGGCAGCAGGTGTTGAATGAAGCACATCACCCTCCCTAGCAGGATGGAGCCCAATCTGGTCCACAGAAGGCCTCAATAGGACAAAAAGACTGACCCCCTAAACAAGAGGGCTTCTGTGGCAGGCAGCCTGACAGCCCACTTGGAGATCTCAGACTTGCCAGCCCCCAGCACCGTGCAGACAGCCCCTTTCTGTCTTCTGTGCTTTAAGTCAGATTGTCACTGCTGTGACCAAAAGACCCTACAAGAACAATTAGAGGAAGAAAAGCTTATTTGGGGCTCATAGTTTCAGAGGTCTCAGTCTGTAGAAGGATGACTACATTCCTCAGGGCCTGAGTGAGGCAGAACATTATGGTGGAAATGTGTGGCAGAGGAGAGCAGATGGGAATATGGCATCAGGAAACAGCAACTCCACTCACCAGGGACAAAATATAAACCCCAAAGACACACCCGCAATGACCTGCCTCCTCCAGCCACACCCCACCTGCCTACAGTTACCACCCGGCTAATCCCTACTGGGATTAATGTACTGATCAGGATAAGGCTCTCATAATCTGACCATTCCAGCTCTACACCTTGCATAGACTCACACTCGAGCTTTTGGGGGATGCCTCACCTGTAACCATAACATATGAACACACACAGTGTAATGTCTGAGATGAGCTTCCCATAAATATCTCGCTGACAAGGAAGCCATGTGAGAGACGTTGACAGAACAGCAAACCCAGGGGATAGGTGGAAACTGCTATGACTACAATCCAGCCCACACACAGATCCAGGAGCAGAATGAAACTTTTCTGGCTTTGTCMAAATTGGGGCTTGTGCATATGTTATGCAAAAACAGGGACAAGACCTAAGAAACCAGGCTAAAAAATTAAAATGAAAATTAAAAACAGGAAAATCTGCAGCTACACAAACGGCGAGACCATTGACGCAGCCTGAGTCCAGGACATGCACAGATCCGCGCACTCAATGAGAAAGCCCGCGTCGCCCCGGGGCCTGGGGGTGCCAGAGGATGTCAGGGGAGGTGATGGCAAAGCTCTGATAGTGCCTTGTGCTGCACCAGCTCCTTCAAGACACAGGCTACTGCAGCTAAAAGATAACCTGAGCAACCCTGGAGCTGCCAAGGACACGGGGTTTAATAACAGAAAGGCCAGCAGGCCGCATGGCCCTTCACCAGTAGCTGAGGACCAGCAGCTGCGGACCAGCTCGCACAGGCTCTCCCAGAAGGTTACAGGTGAGGAATGTTTCCTGCTGCAGTTTGCTTACATGCACCCTGGAGGCAAGGTGTACAGGGTTTGGTCTCCAGTCCCTGGTGCCATTGGGAGGTGGTGGAACCTTAAGGACCTGGATGTAGTGGGAGGAAGGGAGGTCACTTGAAGGGCCTCTTGCTTTCACTCTGCTCCCCAGCTGCTGCGAGGTGAGCATTCTCCCCACCACATACTTCCTGGTGCTCTCTGCCTCTGCAGGCCCAAAGCAAGGGGCCAGGGACCACAGGTTTAATTCCTAAACCAAAAGAAACCTTCCGTCCTCTTAAGTTTTCTGAGGTGTTTTGTCACAACAATGGAGAGCTGACTCTCACAGCTTCCTGACTCACTCCACAAGGGCAGAATCACACCAAAATCCAAAAAGTCATTGTAGGAAAGAGAATTAGCCTCCACTCCCTGTTAACCTAGATGCCAAAATTCTAAACTAAATTTTAACCAATCAAATTGAATGATTGGTAAAAAGATCAACACATGAGCAAGTGAGCTCTATGCTAGTGTTAGGGTTTGAACTGTGCCCCTCACTTTGTACACTGAAATCTGACCTTCAATGTGGCTGTGTTGGGAGATGCAGCCTTTAAAAAGGAGATTAGGTTAAACGATGTCATAGGAGTGGGGCCCCAATCATATGGAACTAGTGGCTTTTAAAAATAAAGCTTATTGAGTATATTTAAGGGACATTATGGGAGGGACACCTGTAGATAGTAAAGCGCTTACTTGGGT